CCTAATGTCCTGTTTCTTACTTGGCTTTCTCTTTAATGAGTTAAATTCAGGGTCACAGTCCTTGTCATCAGCATTTCCAGAAAGTTTAGTGCAAGAAGGGTGTTCAATCCTGCAAATAATTTCAAAACTGACTTCATTTCACCAGGGTAAAAAACATAAAAGAAGAAAAACCCTTTCTGGTAGAAATCCGTATTTCCCTATAGAACAGGGAACGGTCGGTTTCTCGGTGAAATAAAACTTTGTCTCCTTGGAACTGGGGTAGTCTTCAGCAATGAATTCTGAGCCGTTGGCTTAAGTGTAGGATTTACAGGCAACGGGTTTTGTAACATGCTAAGAAATTTTAATAGGACTGTTCTGCTCTTTAAATTTGTTCCTGCAAAAATCCTGATAATATTTTTTGAAAGTGTTTCTAAGAGAGTTTAGGATAAGTCAGGAATTTGTCTTTTTGGTGTAGGCATTCCACTCTCCTAATGTGTTCAGTTTGCTTCTTGTGCTTACGGCAAGGGAAGTATATCTTTATTTTTTGAGTTATCTGATCCTGAAGTATTCAGGAGATGGTAAAAGGTACCTTGGAATACTCTTTTAAGATGATTGACACAGTCCAAAACTTGGGGGAAGACAAAATCTGTAGTCCCTGGGATGTCTTTGAGGACCAAAGGTTTGGAAATGCTGCTTTACTCTATATAAACAAGATGACAAATTCCTAACTCCTTTTGGAAGATGGCATTTCTTCGCCTGCATGTTTATGCATGTTTGGCTGCAGCATCTTCCTGGTCCATGCAGGCGACATGAAGCAAGGAAATGCCACTTTTCCAGCTCTATGCCAGCTTTCCACGAGTTTGAGGCAGCAGTGGATTTGAGGGCACTACTTAAATTGGATTAGTGAAATGACCTGTATGAAACAAACTGTTGACTTCTGAAGGCTGTTTGTCTGCACCTCATGATTTTGCTTGCAACCCAGCTACACAAACAAGGGCATTAGTTCAACTGCATATGGGAAAAGTTGAGGAGAGTGTATTTAGCAACCTTGTAAGTCAGCATTTCTTCCTGAAAAAACTGGGATGTGAAACTGCATTTCCTGATACCAGTTGATCTCCTGATGTAGCTTAGTCTGTAATAATTCCTTACGCTAAGTGAGAGCATAACTACTTCTTAGATAATGGGTTTTAATTCTGTCTTAAGTTCTCTACAGTTCAAATTCTGGGGCTTAATGTGAATTTGAACTGAGAAGGAAAGCCTACAGCTTAGGCGTGTTGTGTATGTGAGAGGAGCTATATAACAATGTCACTTCAGATTTTTTCCTATTTTCTGTTGAGAGCTCAGTGGTTTAAATCCTGCTTCTTTTGCAGAGGACTATGTTTACCAAAAGGTATTATCAAGTAAGTTTTTTACCGCAGTGAAATTTTTGTGATACTGTATTTCATTTTGCCTTTAATCAAATTAGAGGAGTTTTACCAGGATGACAGTCTACATGTTTTACTGCCCAACATTTTACTTAAGACTCAGTTATACTCTTCTGAAAGATGAATTAGGCTTGGTGATATTTGTCAGACTCCTGATAAAATTTGGTTTCATTTGCAGTACTTTACAAGAGTCCTCTGCTGTTCATCTTCAATTTTTTTGCAAAAGCTTACAGAACTTGTTTTGTTTCCATTGAGGTAAGGGAACATTCAGATTTATTCTTACATTGATCTTGGATGTTAGAGAGGTACGGTAGATTTTTAACACATGAAAAATACAGGCCTTAAGGTTTTGTTTAAAAATAGAGTAACAGCAGTGAAAGCCATTCTTTGGTCTCCAAAGCCCTGGGCACACATATCTTAGTAAATTACTGCCTCATACAACTAAATTGTATAGTTTTGTTGGCTGATCCAAACAACTAATGTCATTCCAGAAGAGGGAGGCTTTTGGGCTTTAATCCACGAACCTGAGGTGATATCTTGATGGCATCTTTTATCTCAGAGAACTCTAGAATGCTTACCCCATGTACTCAGGTACCTTATGACCATAAGAATGCAGAGTACTGGGTCTGCCAGGAACTTCAGGGCTCACTTGGAAATGTTGATTGACTTGATGTTCTGTTCAAATCCGAATTGTTGTTTCAGCCTTCAGTAATCTTGCCAAATACTTTAAAAAAAGAGTAAATATTTATGAGTTGTTCACCAGCATGTCCTGTTTGCTATTCTTCCACCCTAAATGTTTTTCAGTGCGCAATTCTGTCAGTGGATGTTGGAGGACAGTAGGTCAGAAAAATATTTCAAGTTTGGAAAATTACTTCTTTTGTCTACCAGAGGTAGTGGCCAGCATTTGGAAGAGTAGTTTCAGCTCTCTCGACCTACTCCCTTCTGAAAAGTTGTCATAAGAACAGGCTGTTCCCGTTTGAGTTAAATTTTGACTTGGTGTCTCTATAATCAGCCACCTGTAGCAGCTTCCTCATTTTTAATGGATTGAGTTGGGGTTCTGCTGTCATTTCTCTGTAGTTTATCTGACATACTGCTTTATCTTTCACAGAGGAGAAGAAAAAACTGGTTCGAGAATTTGATGATAAACAGCGCGAAGCCAATGAGACAGTAAGTGTAAGGTTGGGCCTCTT